GGTTTTGGTTATTTTTTAGAGTTTCTGAAAAACTGGTTTTCCAGAAAATCACTCTCTGGAGGCCTAGCAGCACGTCTCATGTTGATATTCGGAATCAGTATGGTCGACTACCTATAGTCCACTAAGTTTCGGCTCGAAAGCGATCGGACAGTTGGAGACCTTCCCTCGTCAGTTCAACTAACAAATGATATGTAGCCGTCATATCATCATGAACATTCAATTTAGGACTTATGCTAACGAAACTAATTGAACATTCTTCGCCACGATAAAATTACTATATCTATGATGCTATTAATAATTATAGAAACGGCTCAATATTAAGCAATCATTCATTTAATAATAACATTAACAACAGTATCCAACGATCAAGCGAACCAAAATATGCAGTCAAAAATAGTAACCAGCTTCGTGTACAACAGGTATCATATCTGTAAATCTCTTTTTTTTTGAGTTCAGGCAATTTTCTATTGAGAGAACAGCGGAGAAAAACAGTAATATCTGAAAAAATGTTCAGTCGTTAGCTTTAGTGTAAGTAACACTATAAACACAAATAGGTCACATAATGCTACTGTGTTCTTTATATAAATATTTTAAAGAATGTTTTTGGCATTTTTATTTCCTGTAGGATCAACGTTCATCTAGTCCATTTCGTAATGTTAAAAAATTATTGACTCCTGATTGTTCACCAATACAAAAACAACAAACAAACAAAACAAATCAAAATAGAAAATTACAGAGCATCAAGAATAAACAATCACGACAACCAAGTAAGACGATTCAGCCACGTGCTGGAATAATAGGCTGTATTTTTCCTAAACATTTAGCTTTAATTCGTTCAATTCCCCGTCCAGCTGGTTATAATCACTTATCCATTTCAACGAATAGTCCAATGGCCATGTTATTCGATTCATCTCCAATTTCTTCACATTTCGTTAGAGAAGATTCTCTACCGATAAAAAGTGGTCAAACGCTAAGTATGTATTTTATTAATCTTTTTCAGCAAAATAGTAATCATGGAAGAAATCTAAGTCAAACGTTTTCATTAAATCTTTTTGTTAACACAACTCTGTTACAACACACAAACTTGTTATATAACTCAAAAAGAGATTATTTTGAGTAATTATTGACGTTGATCACGATTTTGATATCTGTTGCGACAACTAGGCCTTTCTTCTAATGATCTCGAAATTCTAATCCTTGTAGGCACATTCAAAGGTTTCGAACATTACAATCTGACAGAATCAGATTTGATTCATTCGAAATCTTTGAGTGTGTCTACAAGGATTAGAATTTCGAGATCATTAGAAGAAAGGCCTGGTTGTCGCAACAGATATCAAAATCGTGATCAACGTCAATAATTACTCAGAATAATCAATCTCTTTTTGAGTCATACAACAATTTGACACTTGGAGAATTTCTCTCTTTGATGCGTTCGTTTCATAAAGTGTTTTGTTGACTTCTCTTATTTAGGTCAATATGCTCGTCAAGTATTAGATAGTGCATTAAAAGATTTAATGGAATGCTCAATGTGAATAAGGGTATTCTTTTGTTTTCGTTATTCTAGTCAAAAATTATTACCTTTGTTTTATATTTGTTGTATACGTATTTGTTAACAAATTTTTCCGTTAATTTTTATTTTTATTTTAACCGATTAATACGTAGATTTGTGAAAATGAATTTATCTTTTCCTTTATGGTATGTGAAATAACAAATAATGTTTTTTTCTTATGTTTATTTATGATTTCTATTTTCTATTTTATTATTTATAATTATGAAGACATATGACTATTAAAAATGTGTACAGAACACACATCACTAAACAAAGAGTATTGATCGTTGTGAAAGATTGACATGGCAAGTTTTCTAGAATTTATTTGACTGAAAGAAAAGTATTGCAGGAGATTGCACTACTGTAGTTGTTATCAAACTTTTGTATTCAGATTTTCTATTAACTAACTTGAACGATGAGGAATTGCAGAATTGTAATGAAGAATGCTCTTCGCATTTGTTCAACGTTAAGGTGCAAATCTCGTAAAACTTCATTGTCACTAGATAAAATAAATACGACTTAATATGGTTACCTATATTATGATAAAAGTACTTTGTGCTATTTGTCTACATATTCATTTGAAAGCGAAAAGGGATAATCGGAGGTTTGATTTTTACTTATAACGGACTATCACACGCTATGCTAGTTATAGAAGTGTTGTTCTGTATTTATTTTAGTTTCTAGATCTTTTTGAAAGATTTCTGTTACTTCTGTTTTGACTATTTTTTACATTCTAGATGTGAACGAGTGAAAGTTATGTTTATGTTTTAAACGTTATGTCTAGTTTTTGAAAAGATATTCCCTTTTGCTCTACATATCGATCCCTCGAAATTATTGCGGTGATAAGATTGGACGAGTCTGAAGCTAGACTCATGGGTTAAGTTTTATTTTACATATTTAAATTTATTTCTTCTTTAACCATCAAAATCAGAGAATCTTGACTCGTTATCATTTAGAAAATAGAGAAAAAGTAAACAATTTGTGTACGTTATCTATATAAAGTAAAGATTCTGGCTCAATGTTATAAGATTTAGTGTTTCGAGTTCGAGTAAATCAATTTCTCAAATAAAATTCTATCTCAGTGAATGCTGTTAAAATGTGACAGATCTTCGACCATTGTAACGAGATTTAAACGTGTGAAATGAGGAAAAAAAAATAAAAATAAAGTACATGAGTCAAAAAAGATTTGTAAAACGATTGCATTCGAAACAGGTTTAAGACTCAAACTTACGTTTGATTTTCTTGTTTCAGTCTTATTCATCACTTTTCAAAAACATTTTTTATTTATTGTTCTAAATCAACAAAAATACATCTATAGTAAACATGCTTACTAAAAAGTACTTAAAAACAAGTAATAGACTACAAAAACGTAGCTGTAACAGTAATTTATACATCTAATAACATTTTCGATGTACAATGGTTGCTCCATATTCGTCGTATTCCGGTTTTAATATCCACATTGGTTCAAATGCTTCTAATGATGCTAGAATACTTCCACCCATCCAAACTGAGAATCGACGCTCTTTTGGTTGAGAAATTTTTATTTTTATATCATCCATTACCATTCGTTTCATTTCTAAAAGTAAACGTTCACCTAGACCACGAAACAATGTTGAACCGCCCGATAAAACTTGATTCAAATATAAATCACGTCGAATATCCATATCACATTTTTGAATACTAAAGCATATAATATAAAAGATATAGAATTGATTTTAAGTAGCAAATATACGTACGTATTAAAAATAATGTCATGTATACCAGGTGCCTCTAAACCAAGGTACACCGGTTGAAATAACGCTTCGGGACATCGAAATCGCTCATCACCTAATCGTAAAATTTGTCCATCTGGTAATTGATAAGATGTTTCTTGTTGTTCGGATGGTTTCAACATCATATCAGCGGGAAAATTTTGACTAACATAACAACATTTTTCTTTAATATCACGAACAATTTCTTTTTCAGCTGATGACACAAAACAATAACCATTTTCCATTAATAATTTCACTAGATATTCCGTTAAATCTCGTCCTGCTATACTCAAACGATAGATAGCATGTGGCAATGAATAACCTAAAAACGTAAAAAAATAGTTCAGTTAGACTAAGTAGTAAATTGTTTCGTAAGATTACCTTCATAGATTGGAACACAGTGTGTTACTCCATCACCGCTATCACAGACAAGACCAGTAGTACGACCACTTGCATACAAAGACAAGACGGCTTGAACAGCAACATACATAGCTGAAAAAGAATATCAACTGGAAAAGTGAAAAAAATTAACTTAATTATATCAATTGTCCTTTCGTTAATAAATTAACTTTAATCACATTCTGAAACTTGCTATAGAAATTTAGAAATATACCTGGTACATGAAATGTTTCAAACATAATTTCTGTCATTTTTTCTCGATTCGATTTTGGATTTAATGGCGCTTCTGTTAATAGTACCGGATGATCTTCAGGTGCAATTCTCAATTCATTACTATATGTATGTTGCCATATTAGTATCATATCATCCCAACTTTTGACAATGCCATGTTCAATGGGATATTGCAATGATAAAATTCCACGTTTTTTTTGCGCTTCATCGCCAATATAAACATCTTTTTGTGTACATATCATAACACCTTGTTGACGTGGACGGCCAACTATTGATGGAAATATACAACGTGGATGATCATCACCAGCAAAACCAGCTTTGACCAAACCTCAAGTACGAAGAAGAAAAAAGTATTTTTAATTATAATAAAATAAAAGAAAATATATGAACAGGGAGAGATATTGGGTCCAGATCATGAAAAATCAGAAAAAACTTAAAAAAAAGAAATTTAAATCAGAAAACCAGAACATCTTAGAAGAAAAAAGAACAGAAACAAGGCAGAAAAAATTTCGAAAATCCGAGCTTTTCTGCCAAAATCAGAAGATCTGGAATTCCCGGATATTCAGTTATAATATTCAGTTTGTCTGGTCTTGAAAACAGAGTGAAGACTTATTTACTTACAGGTGTCTGTTTTCTGTTTGTTTTTTCTTGTTCTGGTCAACTCCAAGATCCAAAACAAGAAAGTGATAAGACTAGATCATGATAGTCTGTTTTTTCTACTGATCAGACAAACAGTAAATTTTGGTCGGATGTTAGTATTTTTTGAGAAACACACACTGGTCAGGTTTAAGACCAGAGCTAGGTTTTTTTTGATAATCACCGTTTTGTTTTGCTAAGTCACGTAGTATATAGTGACTTCTAATTCTTCGAAAAATTTCAAAATTATTGCTATAGATGCTGAGTAATGTCTTAAAGATTTCTGTGCTGAACAAGAGATATATAACAACATTCCGAGTTTGATGGTTACAAGTCTCCGGAAAACTTTTTTCTGATTTTTGCGCAGTATGAGCGATTAGCGAGCAGCATACCTAATTTTTACATATATACAACAAGCTCGCAGTCTTTATTTCTTCCACTGATCAAGCGAAGTACAGGTCTTGACCAGGAAAATAAGCAAGGACTTTTTTACTTATAGCCCCCCGCGGCCGGGTTGGGGGGGGGGGGGGGGGGGGGGGGGGGGGGGGGGGGGGGGGTGGGGGGGGGGGGGGGGGGGGGGGG